GGAAAGAGGAGGCGGAGAGGCGGGGAACCTGATCGGCCCTGTTCGCCAGCCAGGCCTAGGGACCCCTGTGTGTAGGAATTTCGTGCACTGGGCTTCTAGTCTCAGTATAATCTGCTTGTAAGAGTCCCTGGATTTTGCCTTCATCAGATTGCTGCTTGGTGAGTTTATAATGGAGAACAGAGCAGCAGAAGAAAGTGTGTTGGCATTCCTTATGCCTTCACTGTGGGGAGGACCTAAAGTACTCCCTCTCTTTTTGAGCACTTGTAGTAACTTACAAAAGCACCCGGTTCCATTTTTGAACATGTTCTTTCTACCAGAGAGCTGAAAAGCTGCTGTCTGAGTGCTCTGTTTTCTTGAACTCTGCTCCCTAACATCTCTGAGATGTTGTTGTCCTGCCACGTGGCCATCCCACTGCAAGTTAAACCCTAAGGGTATTAGATGGTTTGATTTTGGGGTCTCTTTTTATCTCTGTTGCCCTCCTGGATATATTGTATTTGATGACAGTGCCATCTTTTTTTTTTTTTTACACATATATTTATTGATTTCAGAGAGGAAGGGAGGCATGCCCCCCACTGGAGATTGAGCCCGCAACCCAGGCATGTACCTTTGAGTGGAATGGAACCTGGGACCCTTCAGTCCACAGGCTGACGCTCTATCCACTGAGCAAAACCAGCCAGGGTGACATTGCCCATCTTAAATTATGGTGCCCAGAACTGAATATTAAGAATAGTTGGGGGTCGGGGAGGAGAAGTGGGCTCCCAACCCGGTATCAGGTGGTTTTCCCACCACCCCCCATTGTGGGTCCCAGCAGCTTGGGCAGCTGGGGTGGCTGGAGAAGTGGCAGCAGCCAGTCATCCCAGGTTCTCAAAGGTTCTAGGCAGCCTCAGTTCTCAGGCCCTCAGCTGCATGCCACCTCCATGGTGCCCAAGAGGAAGGTCAGCTCCCCCTATAGGCAGCAAAGGAGGAGGTCAGCAAGGCTGTCAGCCAAACCTGCTCCTGCAACAAAAAAAAAAGGGAATGAAGCCAAAAAAGGTGGCAGGAAAGGGTGAATCTGCAGACAGAGTGCGTATGGAAGGGAAAGGGGAGCAGAGGAAAAGCAGGCCAAGTGGCTGACCGGGACCCTAACGATCTGCCTCCGGAAAACCGAGAAACTGAAGAGGAGGAGAGGCCAGTGTCGGGTGAAGCAGGAGAGAAGGAAGCCACGTCTGACGAATACCACAAACCCTGTCTTCTCTGTGGTCCCTGTGGCTCTTCTTGCACAATCCAGAGGAAGATTGTTGTTGCTGATCCTCACCTGAGCACATTTTTTTCATTGATTTTCAGGGAGAGTGGAAGAGAGAGGGAAGGACAGAGAGAAACATCAGTGGGAGAGAAACACACCGATTGGTTGCCTCCTGCATGCCCCCGACCAGAGCCCGGGCTGGGGAGGGGCCTGCAACCAAGGTACATGCCTTTGACCGGAATTGAACCCGAGACCCTTTGGTCCGCAGGGCAATGCTTCATCCACTGAGCCAAACCGTCCAGGCCCAGAGGAAGATTTTTTTTATCAACTATTTTACAAATGCAAGTTTTTTTAGTAGCTGTAGAAACATCTTTAAGAAGGAGAAAATTGTACCTCATCCCAATTTTTAAAGTGTAAATGCTTTTTTTAAAGAGTGAAATAATTTTCTGGTTGGTAATTTTTTGGTACAATCAGAAAATAGTGGGATATTGAATATGTGAGGTTTTGTCTTGAGTGTCAGCCAAACATTATGTAGATGGGGTAGTTCTTATATCCTATCATACAAGGAATACTAAAGCAATTTGGAGTCAGTCATGCATATGTCTTGAATATTTTAAATTACTTGCATTCCATGTTTTTGGCAGAATTGTTTCCTAAAGAAAACCACTCCTTCATCTTGACTCTCCCTGTCAGAATCTTGGGCACTAACAGACGGTAGACGGGGAGCCCGTCCAGCTTTGCTGGTTCCACCCCTTGGTTCGTGTTCTAAACGCATCTCGAGAGTTGAGTTCATGAGCTCCAGTCCTCTCTGCATTTCAGCCACGATCCTGTTATTACAGCTCACAGCTGTCAGTGCCTCCTGCTGCGGGTTCCCTGTCAGCATCTTTGGAGCCAGAGTTTGATTTTAATATTATCTTATGCAGAAGAAAAGACAGAATATGAAAAGTGAATAGATTTTAAAACAATGGTATTGGCTACAGTGAAATTTAGCTTTAACATAAGCCCTTCCTGTAATGGTTAAAACTTTAAAAACCAATTTAAAGTATTATTTGTATATTTTGTTGGAAGCTCAGAAGACACAGAAAAGAATAAGGAAACCGTTCACTCATTATTTCATTATCCAGAGATAATTATTAAACATCTTGGGATGTTTTTGTAATCCTTATCCCTCTCTGTGCATCCTATCTAATAAAGAGGGGATATGCTAATTGACCCTCATGCCGTCGCAAAGATGGCGGCACCCACAGCCAATAAGGAGGGAATATGCTAATTGACTGCCACACCCTCAGAGATGGTGGCGCCCAGTCCCCTCTGCCCCCCAGCTGCCCAGGGCCGATACAAGGTGCAGGTAACCAGGGCCGGTCTAGCTTACGCTGCCACCAGTGGCAGCAGCAGAGGTGTGGTGGTGCGACACCTTCCCCTGATCGACAGGTCACCTCCTGCCCCTGAGGGCTCCCGGACTATGAGAGGGGGCAGGCCAGGCTGAGGGACCACCCCCCTCCAATGCATGAATTTTCATGCACCGGCCTCTAGTATTTGTATAAGTGAGGTGATGGCATGTCTGTCTATGTAGGTGTATACAGTGAGCCTTCACTTAACATCATCAATAGGTTCTTGGCAACTGCGACTTTAAGCGAAAAACAGAGTATAACAAAACCAGTTGTACCCCAGGCTAGTTGATAGAACAATAGTTAAGTTATTGTACCAAACTTCTAAATGAAGACC